CTAAGAGGAAAGCAATGGGAACGAGCAATACCACTCAGTATGATATGAATATTAAGTCGAAAGTTGGAGCCGAACATTCGGAGAGGTCGAAGAAAAGAGAGAATGAGGAGGGGTTGGTGAATCTTGGAAGTGAACATCCTCGGGATGATCATCCTGTTTTGCGTGAGGTTGAACGTGAACGTTCCCAAGAGAATACCCTTGATTATGCTGAGAAAATGACTGTGGAGGGGGATGGTGACAATTGTCGTGTTGATGGGGATGGTTCGCGTAGAGGTAAGTCGGGTAGGCCTATTAACCTTACATTTCACGATCTTGAGGATGATAACGTTACACGTGATCTGAAAGAAGACTTGGTTGAATCTACATTCGTGAAAAAAAGGAATCGTCGTGCAAAAACAAATGTTTTGGATTCGCCCGGAGTACCCGAGCCTACGCTCGGTAATAATCGGGTGGAACGACAACTGGTTGTTGGAGGACTCAGATTTTAAGAGCGTTAAATGATCTCCCTGCCGGGGCACTTGCATCTCTTGAATTTTGTGCACCGCTCGCTGGACGTGCACGTGTTCGTGATTCGTGTTCGCAATCTTAACGAAGTGGACGCGAAAGAGATGTTTGTGTCACATCGCAACCGCAATATCCTGCGGGTGTTATTCTGGTGCCCGACGATAAGGATGAACCCGCAATCCGTGCTCCGAATCCGCGCGCTTACCTTGGGAAATGTTTCGAGGATACGAAGAAGGTTGACATACAAAATGTCTTGACTGAGGTACTTTTTGAAATATTTGTCAAAACTGCCATAGTTGTAAAAGATGGACGAATATGAGAAAACTTCCTCGATTGGAGAAAAAACAAACTCACTAATATGCGGTTGGAATGAAAATCCCCTGAGACTCTTCTTCAAACCCGTTGAATGTTTCGGATTTGGAGGTTTCTTCCATGTGGAATTCACTTTTGAGCGATGAGTATATTGCTCTCTCTAATGAGGAGATTACTAGGATGACATTTGATTTGCCACATTGTCCGACAGAAGGGCCCATTCCCCAACCCTTTCACAGATATGCACGGATACAGCAGCTTCTCAAAAGGATTCCTCCCGTGGTTTCTTCTTCCACTCCTCATTGCGCTCCGGTCCATAGACTCCCCCTTCATGCAGCATCTCCTCCAAATTTTCAACGTCTTGCGGATTATGCTCCACCATCCAATATGTCAACGCCGATTGTCACTACTTTTGTTGTTGTTTCTGCTTTGCCGGACGCTACAGCTACTCCGTCTCCTGTCAGTTGTGTTGTGCCCGCTATTACGCCATCAACAGACCATCTTCATGTCCATACAGAACCCTTGAAACAACCAAGTTCTTCTAATTTTAACATTGTCGTCTATGACTCTTTTGAATATATTGGTCACAAAAAGACACTTGCACTCTTATCGTATCTTGACAGTTCTCACAGGGTGCAAGATATTGTGGAAGCAGCAGCTGAATTGAATACGAGCATGAACACTTGAAGATGTGTAGATGTTGCAATTCGTCTCGATTACAATCGGCAAAGACAGGGTCGATTCAGAACTTTTGAGGAGTATCGTCGCAAAATGTTGCAACAAGTTTCTATTCGTGAGGTGCTGCAAGAGTATCGTTCAAGTGAAGGAAGTTGATTGGTCTTATAAAAGAGATAGGAAGTGAGAGATGTTGATTGGGCGGTCGTCCAGGCGTTGTCTTAATGACAGATTGTTTTATGGTCTGTTTTGGTTTTGATTACATAATTGCCCTTACAAAAGAGATAGGAAGAGAGAGAGAAATAAATGGGGGGGCGGGGAGAAAGAGAGAGAGAGAGAGAGAGAGAGACACAGACAGAGAAAGAGAGAGAGGAAAACAATTTGGATTTGATATTATTGCGTTTTTTTACGTCAAGGTGGATTCCATTACGCAATAATTGTGCCTTGATCATATTGCGGGCACTTGCGAAGTTTAATGGAACAATAAATCCTCATATTAAACTTCTTCTCTTTGTATTCTGGTGTTGGTGTTTCTTTATTCTTTGCTCTCTCTCTCTCTCTCTCTCTCTCTCTCTCTCTCTCTCTCTCTCTCTCTCTCTCTCTCTCTTTCTCTCTCTCTTTCTTTCTCTCTCTCTTTCTCTCTCTCTTTCTTTCTCTCTCTCTTTCTCTCTATGTCTCTATCTATTCTTTTCTTTCTATCTCTCTTTGTCTGTCTCTGTCTCTCCTCGGCCTTCCTTCTACTTTTTTTTTATGATTTAAATTGATTTTTCAATTTGTCACATTTTTTTTTCGTCAGTTAAACTCAGACGTCGTAGCCAGTTTTGGGCTATTCTTTGTTACCCTGTGATTCAATTTTTTTTTTTTAGTCTGTTTCAGTTTATGTGAGTGGTTTGTGTTAGGTTCCCTTCAACAATTCTTATTTTTGCAGGCATAGCCCGCACAGCCCGCACTGCGGGCGCTTAGCTAGTTATTATTATCAGGCTTGTTTCCTTCCTCACTTACACATGCATGGGAACAGGGCGACACGCCACGCCGATGACAGACCACCAAACACAGAGCTCATAGATATGACTGGTGATGACACAGATCGATTATGAGTTCACTTCAGACGGCTATGACGTGACGGCGCTCAACAATTCTTTGTTCATGCACATAGGATCGTCGTGGATACTTCGCACTCGACGCTCTGTATACCTGCACAATCACACAACAACTGTGACACGCAGTAACACCTTGACAGTCACACACGCACGGTGACACACGGTGTGCAGTGACCTACACGGCCATACATAGACAGTGATACACGGTGACACAAAGAGAGAGAGAAGGTGGGAAAATGGCATCAGGGTACATATGAGGTCAGCAAAAATGTATTGACATCATGGAAACTAGGATCGAAGTGAACTTGTTGCGTAAGCACAACTGTAGGTAGAATTGTGGAATAGAGTAGGCTAGGGCATTGGGCGCCGGACAAAGAAAATAACCTTGGCTACTGAGTTTGTATAGGCCTGAGGGCGTGAGCATTGACTCATTACTTCATTGTATTGCTCTGTTTCGCAAGATGTTCAGAACTATGATACTTGCTGCTTGTATACAACTACTCAGACATTTGTGTGATCTCACAACTTGGGTTTGGATATCAATCACACTCATATTCCTTGTTATTATTATTATTATTATTATTATTATTATTATTATTTTTATTGCCATTTGACATCACATGCTAGGATGAAAGTCAGAGGTGGGAAAAGCGCGAGGCAGCAGAGAGGGGGGGATCGTTGTCAAGCATGACGGATTCTATCTCCTTCATTCTCCTCCGCCTTTCCCTATGTCTGATCCCTCGTTCACCAATCCTTTTCAAGCGACGAAATGTGAGATGGTGTTCAATCAAATCTCAAGCATAAGAGACTCCTATTCCGTACTTGACCAATCTAGACTGGTCCACGTGACAGGGCGATTGCAGGAGCTCTGCCGGAGTTCAGGCGGAACACTTGAGGCAGGGAACCATGAGGTACGCGCCCGCTTTAACCTAACCCTAAGCCCTAAACCCTAATCCTATAACCTCAAGGGATTACCTATGACAATATTAATAGAGAGAGTACTTTGAGTCAGGGGTCCTTCATGGCTAAACCTGAAGACGGAAAGGAAGACAATAATGCTTGAGTAAGGGAAGAAAGACATGATCTGACTGGGTGTGTCTAACTGTTGTTGGTAAACGTAGTGAGAACGAGAAGTGCCGAGTCACTGTCTCGCTACGTGAATGTTTCTTTTGGGGATGTGGTGGCCAGGGGGATTGACTTCTAGCGGTTTTCCCTCGCTTATAGGTCACTTGACCATGAGATAAGAAAGGTGGATCATAGTGTATTGTCGAACTTATGAATCATATGATTAGATATTGAGATGATGGATTGCCTTAACAAACCCTTAGCCTGTGACTGACCTATGCTACGTACTCTCAAAAGTCCAAACTAACCCAACCAAGGATCATACGGACAAATTTTTAGATATGAGGTACAAGTCTCGTATGACCTATCTGCATGATCTTAAAGGCTTCCGGAAGGTCCAGGGCTCAAAGGGGAATCAAGGGCAATGATAAAAAACATATGATAAGAGTAAGCGAGGCTCCGAGAAACCTGCCTTACCACTATAATAACAAAGAACATGTGATAAGAGTGAGCGAGGCTCCGAGAAGCCTGCCTTATCACCACAACGATATGATAATGTGGTAAGAGAAGCGAGGCTCCAAGAAGCCTGCTTTACCACTGTAATAACTAAAAAGTAATGTGGTAAGAGGAACGAGGCTCCGAGAAGCCTGCCCTACCACTATAATAACAAAGAAGAGGTGATAAGAGTGAGCAAGGCTCCGAGAAACCTGCCTTATCACCACAACGAAATGATAATGTGGTAAGAGGGGCGAGGTTCCGAGAAGCCTGCCTTACCACTGCATTAACAATGATCAAGGTGATAAGAGTAAGCGAGGCTCCGAGAAACCTGTCTTATCACCGCAACGATAAGAATAATGTGGTAAGAGTGCGAGGCTCCGAGAAGTCTGCCTTACCACTATAATAACAAAGAACAAGTGATAAGAGTGAGCGAGGCTCCGAGAAACCTGCCTTATCACCACAATCATATGATAATGTGGTAAGAGAAGCGAGGCTCCGAGAAGCCTGCCTTACCACTGTAATAACCAAAGAATAATGTGGTAAGAGGAATGAGGCTCCGAGAAGCCTGCCTTACCACTATAATAACGAAGAATAGGTGATAAGAGTGGGTGAGGCTCCAAGAAGCCTGCCTTATCACCACAACGATATGAAAATGTGGTAAGAAAAGCGACGCTCTGAGAAGCCTGCCTAACCACTATAATAACGAAGAACAGGTGATAAGAGTGAGCGAGGCTCCGAGAAGCCTGCCTTATCACCACAATGAAATGATATTGTGGTAAGAGGAGCGAGTCTCCGAGAAGTCTGCCTTACCACTGCATTAACAAGAGATCGAGGTGATAAGAGTAAGCGAGGCTCCGAGAAGTCTGCCTTATCACCGCAACGATAAGAATAATGTGGTAAGAGGAGCGAGGCTCCGAGAAACCTTCCTTACCACTATAATAAGAAAAAACAGGTGATAAGAGTGAGCGAGACTCCAAGAAGCCTGCCTTATCACCGCAACGATAAGAATAATGTGGTAAGAGGAGCGAGGCTCCGAGAAGCCTGTCTTACCACTATAATAACAAGGAACATGAGATAAGAATGAGCGAGGCTCCGAGAAGCCTGCCTTATCACCACAACGATATGATAATGAGGTAAGAGAAGCGAGGCTCCGAGAAGCCTTCCTTACCAACATCTGCCCTAAAAGGCAGACATTGATAAAGGATGAGTAAATCATAATCGGACTACCAACGGATATCTGCTTCCATATAACTAAACCAATCCTTTCCTAACGAGCTACTCCTGATTCTGATAAGGAGAGGATAGTGAGATCTTGACCCTCAGAGACTCATCACTTTGAAACCTTGATTTGATCTCTATCATATGATTTCTCTCCAAAATTGAATTGATGGTGCTTCTTGTAAATTACTAAGATATGATGATTGTAAGCTACCTTTTAAAGGGAAAGCTATGTATGATCTTGTGTTGTGTCTACATGTTTCATCACTCTTGAAAAAGATTACGAAAGAACACCGTAAGGAACTGCAATTCTGTTATCATTGGATAACAGGTCGGTAGAACTCCGACTCAACTTCCACATAGTTTGATACCCACACATAAGACAAAACCTGAAAAGGGAACAGACATATTTCCCCCTGTATCTTAGCCTAAATTGTCCAAATCATCTCTCGAAGGTCTTTGAAAAGGTGAAGGGCTGGGTAATAGGAGGCAGAAGTTGGAAGCAGTATTGTTTTCAAGGTTTGGGGGGAGTGAGGGACTTGCTATTATTGGGTTAAAGGTTGACTCTTGTAGCGCATTCTGTGCTGACATTTTGTATGTGTGTATGTGGTCTTCTTGCATCTACACAAGTGTTTGGGCAGTGATCTGTCATCTGAACATTGGGGAAATATCTGGGATATTCAGACACTGGGCACCGCAATTGTGAAAGTGAGGTCTACCACTCATTCGCTCCCCTGATTTACATATATACTTATATATATATATATATATATATATATATATATATATGTTTGTGAATAGGGTCATACTTTGGCCTAAGCTTGAGAAGGTTATTGTCTAGGAGTCTGTTCGAGAAGAAAAGTGGTCACGCAGAAGAGTGACCACGGTCCGAATAGAAGATCGGATTCCGAAAGAAGCCAACTGGAGCATTGTAGGGAGTAAGATGGACTGAAAGTTCGTACGGACGGGGTCCATAGACGTTATGATGAAAGGAAAAATGTGCCCAGGAATGGTTGATATGGGGGCAGAGATGAACATCATAAACGGAGAGACTGCGTAGAGATTGGGGTTGGAGATTGATGAAAACGATTGTGGATTCCTCAATGGAGCTAGTGGCAAAACCGGGTACACGGGGGTTGCTTCTAATGTTGTAATTGAGATAGGAAGGGTCAAGGTGCGTACGTTGTAGGGCCAAACCCCGGTAGACTTTCGAGCCTTAGTCGACCCCACTGCGGGTCCCAGTTGGCTCGGCCCGCCCACGCTCATGCTCAGGGCGCGGGCCGTTCATCCCAGGGTCACCCCCACCTAGCGCTTTGAGATGGATGGAGTTGAGCCATCGCGCGAGAGAGCTTTGACATTGGGGATGTAGCTCAGCCCTCACGCCCGGTGGTAGTCTCGCTTGGTCATTCCACAACGCTGATTTTTTTCGATTCTTGGTTGTGTTCTCGGACAATTGCTCTTTCCATACGCAGGCTGTCCAAGGGTTCCTTGAAGGTCTTTCTTCTCTTGTGCCCAGGCTAAGCGTCATCCTTAGGCCGCGCACCATTTCCCTAAGCATTGTGTTCCTACGGGGTCATTGGGGTGCAGCGGTGCCGTCCTCCCCCCTCACCTCTACTCACCCATCGGATCTCATACATCTCCTCCAACCCTATTGACGCAGACCCCTTAGTCCTTTCGGGGCCTTTACATGCATGTACACCCAACCTCACATTTCCCTTGGCAAGAGGACACTTAATTTTCTCATTTACACTCCACGTCTCAAACACAAAGATCATTTTCATGGGTTGGCTTTATGCTAAGGGTCCCGTAGCCCCTTTGCCCCTCTTCCCTTTTCCTTTTGATGCCCGGTTCCTCCCGGCCCTATCCCGCTCAAGGCATCCTCAACCTTCACTCATGCGCAATCCCACACAAGCAAAGATCCATACAATCTCCCATTGGGGGTCAACACATAGCCCTTCTCACATGCCTACCTTTCCATACTTTTTGGCTGCTCTTTATTCCCTTCCTTTGCTCAATCAGCCCATTCTCTTCTCATAGTCATGTAGTCGGGGAAATGGTTGAGTCGAACTGACTTTGCTTCCACTTATACTCTCTCTCGGATTCTGCCTCTTTTTCTCACTTTCCCAACCGTTATTTCCTTTGCCTTCTTGGTGGCATAAGGGACCGGCTACCCTCCCTTTGCCCTCTTTCTCCACCAAATGAGGTCTGATCTCTTTTTACCATTCGCACACTGACAATGTACCAAGTGAGGGGACAAAGGTTAGTCATATGCCAAGTGAGGGGAAGAGAGAGGGAGAAAGAGGGCAAGGCGAAGAGGGAGGGAAATAGAGAAGTAGGAGAGGAAGATAGATAAATAGATAGATAGATAGATAGATAGATAGATAGATAAAGATAGATAAGATAGATAGATAGATAGATAGATAGAGAGAGAGAGAGAGAGGAGTAGGAGAGGAATATATATATATATATACAGAGAGAGAGAGAGAGAGAGAGAGAGAGAGAGAGAGAGAGAGAGAGAAGAAACTTCTAATCCTAATCAAATCAGTTCCCCGTAGTAGCAGCCAAATGTCGGTCACCCATCCCATAATGAAAGATCGAGTAAGTACGAATTGGAACACTTCAACATACATGAACTTGACGATGAGAAGCTAGAACTAGTGAAAAGCACATACATATAGAGGAAAGATCAACTAAGTATGAACCGGAACATCACAACATATATGAACGTGACAATGAGAAACTAGAACAAGTGAAAAACAAACACACATAGAGGAAAGATCAACTAAGTATTACCCGTAATATCTCAACATACATTAATTTGACAATGAGAAGCTAGAACTAGTGAAAAACACACATACATAGAGGAGAGATCAACTAAGTAGGAATCGGAACATCACAACATACATGATCTTAACAATGAGAAGCTAGAATTAGTGAAAAACACATACACATAGAGGAAAGATCAACTAAGTATGACCCGGAACATCACAACATACATGAATTTGACAATGAGAAGCTAGAACTAGTGAAAAACACAAACACACAGAGGAGAGATCAACTCAGTAGCAACCAGAACATCACAACATACATGAACTTGACAAGGGGAAGCTTGAACTAGTGAACAACACTTGCACATGAAGGAAAGATCAACTAAGTAGGAACCGGAACATCACAACATACATGAACTTGACAATGAGATACTAGACTAGCGAACGACATTTGCACATAGAGGAGAGATCAACTAAGCATAAACCGGAACATCACAATACATATAAACTTGACAATGAGAAGCTAGAACTAGTGAAAAACATATGCATATTAAGAAATGATCAACTAAGTAGGGACCGGAACATCACAATATACATGAACTTGACAATGAGAAGCTAGACTAGTGAACGACACATGCACATAGAGGAGAGATCAACTAAGTAGGAACTAGAACATCACAACATACATGAACTTGACAATGAGATACTTGAACTAGTGAAGGACACATGCACATGGAGGAAAGATCAACTAAGTAGGAACTGGAACATCATAACATACATGAACTTGACAATGAGACAGACTGTGAACGACACATGCACATAGAGGAGAGATCAACTAAGTAGGAACCGGAACATCACATCATACATGAACGTGACAATGAGATGCTAGACTAGTGAACGGCACATGCACATAGAGGAGAGATCAACTAAGTACGAACCGGAACATTACAACACATATCAATTTGATAATGAGAAGCTAGACGTAGTGAAAGACATATGCAAATGGGGGAAATATAAACTAAGTATGAACCAAAACATCACAACATACATGAACTTGACAATGAGAAGCTACAACTAGTGAAAGACATATGCGCATGGAGAAAAAATCAACTAAGAAGGAACCGGAACATCACAACACACATGAACCTGACAATGAGAAGCTAGAACTAGTGAAAGACACATGCACATAGAGGAGAGATCGACTAAGCATAAACCGGAACATCACAACACATATGAACTTGACAACGGGATACTTGAACTAGTAAAAAACATATGCATATGAAGGAAAGATCAACTAAGTAGAAACCGGAACATCACAACATACATCAACTTGGCAATGAGATACTAGACTCATGAATGACACATGCACATAGAGGAGAGATCAACTAAGTAGAAAACGGAACATCACAACATACATGAACTTGACAATGAGATACTTGAACTAGTGAAGGACACATGCACATGGAGGAAAAATAAACTTAGTAGGAACCAGAACATCACATCATACATGAGCTTGACAATGAGAAGCTTGAACTAGTGAACAACACGTGCACATGAAGGGAACATCAACTAAGTAGTAACCGGAACATCACAGCATACATGAACTTGACAAGGAAATACTAGACTAGTGAACGACACATGCACGTAGATGAGAGATCAACTAAACCTGAACCGGAACATCACAACACATATGAACTTGACAATGAGACGCTAAAACTAGAGAAAGACATATGCATATGAAGGAAGGATCAACTTAAGTAGGAACCGGAACATCACAACATACATGAACTTCACAATGAGATACTAGACTAGTGAACGGCACATGCAGAAAGAGGAAAGATCAAGTAAGCATGAACCGGAACATCACAACACATATGAAGTTGACAATGGGATACTTGAACTAGTAAAAG